ATCATTGTGGGTGTTGCGCACGGCTTTATATACTCGAAATAAAACATGCGTGTGTGTGTGTAGCTTGTGACGGCTGCCACGTTAGTTTTCAAACTATAGACACACGTGTACTGTCAGTACATATTATTGTACACAATACATTTACCTCCGTATGTGTACAAACATTTCGTGTATATTTAAAAAAAAAATTATCGCGAGAAATGGCATAGCCTATCAAACTCTGAAGTACAGTCCCTGATTGGTTGGAACGCTCATAGTGACTGTTCAATACCTCGGCCTTTGTTAGCAGCTGACGCGTCCATAATCCTTTAACACCACAGTGAAATTTCCCGCACCTCCCCCCCCCCCCACACACACACACACACACACCAAAAATGACGTATACTTTAGTACAATTCTAACTTCCTGGTTTAGTAAATTTTCCTTCAATTTGAAATGTTCTAACAACCTCAATCCATCAAAAAAGAACAGTAGAGTTGACGGTAAATAAAGTATAGGCAAGGCTATTGAGTGTTGAAGCCAGCGGCAGCAAGTTTATTGGGCAGTGATATTGGAAGCGCGCACACGCAAACACGCAGACTAGGAAGTGATGTGGTGGAGGCTGACTCCATACACAGTTTCAAATGTAGATATGATACAGCTCGGGAATCTGTACGCCAGTAGATTGGTGGGTGAAAGGCGGGACCACAGACCCAAAATTCAACCCTAGCAAGCACAACTAAGCGAGTACATACTCTACTCATTTTCACTCTCACACAAAGGGGGCCTGGTGGATAGCGCGCAGGACTCTTAATTCTGTGGCGCGGGTTCGATTCCCGCACCAGGCAGAAACAAATGGGCAAAGTTTCTTTCACCCTGAATGCCCCTGTTACCTACCAGTAAATAGGTACCTGGGAGTTAGTCAGCTGTCATGGGCTGCTTCCTGGTGTGTGTGTGATGTGGGGAAAAAAAGTAGTTAGTAAACAGTTGATTGACAGTTGAGAGGCGGGCCGAAAGAGCAAAGCTCAACCCCCGCAAACACAACTAGGTGAATACATACATACACATACATACACATACATACACATACATACACATACATACACATACATACACATACATACACATACATACACATACACACACATACACACACACACACACACACACACACACACAATGGGGTATGAGGAGCACCTGAGGGAGCTGAAAGGGAAGGGAGGGAGAAGGGGGGACATGGTAGGAACGTTTAAAATACTCAGGGAGATTGACAGAGTGGACATATACGAAATGTTCACACGGAATAGTAACAGAATGAGGGGACCGATGCTCGAAAGGCGGGATCCAAGAGTCAATGCTCCATCCTGCAGACACAATTAGGTGAGTACACTCACTGATCCAGTAGTGAGCAGATTCTGCAGACATGTAACTCTGCATCACCATGGAACAGAATTCTAGGAAAGTCACCATTTTATCTCCACTTGCAACATTAATTCCTATAGTTTTGAATGTCATTAAAACCCCCAACGCGCCTTTAGCGCCTCTGGTTGCCCCTTGACGCCTCTGATTGCTCCCGAGCCCCATGTAAGCACAAGCCTTTACGGTCTTCTAAAGAATAAAGGTAACCAGAGGGATAGGGGCCATCAGGGTCCGGATTAATATTGATCCGTATATTCATGGTAGTTTTATTTATAGCTATCACGCTATTAGAATATTTAATTGTGGATTAATAAATTGAGCACGAAGAGATGTTCACTTAGATTGTAGTTTTCAGGACTGGAATATTCCAGACAAGAAGACTCGCTCTAGAAAACGACCAGCAACATGCAGACATATTCCTGAATTAATCAGAGGGCCACCTTCTCAAGTGGCCTCGACGGGGACAGGAAGGTGGCTGCTTGTCAAAGGCCCCACACCCCCATTATTCCAGAGGACTTTTTCCCAGCTGAATTTTAAACAGAAGACGTGGTAGCAGTATCACTAATGTTCACAACGACGTGAGCCTAGGCGAGCTGGGACCTCCCAGAGACTCCTCCATTTTGAAAGAGCATATAGGCACCCACATGTGTGTGAAGTTATAAGATGGGGATTAATCGGCATTTATTGGTAGCTGCTATATTTAGTAGACACTATATAGCAGGAAAAGATGAAGGTCGTCTAATCAGGACCTGGTCCAGCCAGAGGTAAAACTGCCACGAAGGTCACCTGGTGTAGAGGAGCGGCAACTTCCTGCAGGCTGTGAATGGAGGGAAAAGGGGCAAAGCTTCAAGGACTGGGGGACAAAGGGACACACATTCCCGCCCTGAATATGAGTGAACACATTTTGCTGCTCCATGAATGCATGTACAACTAGTAATAAAACTATACCTTAATATATTTGGTACATAATTCGTTGCATAGTTACCTTCATTGCTCATTATATTTATTTACATTAACATGGGCGTAGCTGGAACCATGGATTCGAAGCATAACAGCCATGACAAAAAACGGCAATATAATGCTGGGGTGACTAGTAGAAACTGGAGCGGTTGTTACATTGTCGCGTCATTGCCGTTGTGCAAAGCCAGTGTTAGTGAGAGGTGGTTGGTCAATGACTAGGGGTAAGGGATGAACAAAGGGGCGTGGGCTAATAGTGGGTCAACAAAGGGGTAATAAGCTAGTTGTGACGGGTGAGACGAAAATCATGAAGGGGTGAAATTTTGTTTGGTACTTGTAGTGTACTTGTTTGGTTGTGCTTGAAATAATTAAACATAGTGTTGAGGCACGCCTTTTAAACTTCAATAGGTTGATGTCGAGATTCCCGAGCCATTTTTCATATATACAATAGAAGCTGTGTATGGAGTCTGCCCATAACAACTTGACTTTATCACTGTTTACTCCAGAGTTCCATAACCAATCTAAAGCGGTGGGGTGTGCTGGGGGTTGTGGTGGTGGGTGTGGTGGTGATGGTGGATGTGCTGGGTGTGGTGGTGGGTGTGGTGGTGGGTGTGTGCTGGGGGTTGTGGTGGGTGTGGGTGTGCTGGGGGCTATGGTGGGTGTGGGTGTGCTGGGGGCTGTGGTGGGGGGTGTGCTGAGGGTTGGAGTGGGTTCCGGGCCACAACACTAGTGCTGACGGCCTTCAGGTGGAGGCGCCACGGAGGGTCACCTCGGGTTCTTCTAGTCACTGCTGCTGAATTTCTCACCCTGTGGGCACCACTGGCCGTAAAATAATAATTTAGCGTAGAAATATATTTTTATATTTTTTAAAAAGATCATTTGTCCCGTACTTCAATTTTGTATTTTGGGTGAATGAGCGCGTGTGAATGTAAAACTTTTTTGTTTTTCGTATTGGGAGTATTTCGCCTAATGTTGATGGATCGAATTTTTGCTCTTACGTAACTTTTTCCTTGCTAATAGTGAGAGAAGTCTATATAGGGTATGAATACTATCTCGTAATAAGTGAAGTTAGTGTGTGTGTGTGTGTGTGTGTGTGTGTGTGGGCAGCCACACATTCTTCACACATTGATCTTTAAGATATGTTCTTGGCTGCACTAATCTAACCTTTAAACGTAAATGAGGCGATCGGTCTCTAATTGTGATGCTATACTATCTCGGTCTGTCTGTTTACCTATCACATTAACAGTGATATCAAATTGTGGATCGCTTAATATCTCTGCATATGTCGTCAGCCTAATAGCCTGAATCACACAAATAAGACTAATACGCAAGTCCCATTCTCAAGGAGCGATTTTATATATTTTTATATTTATAAATTCACCTTTAGCATTATAGTGATAACTTTAATTAAATAAATAAAACTGGAGTTTAAGCAAGGCAATACTGAGAAATATTCGGCATATATAAGGTAGGTCAGGCTGCAAAAATCTAAGTTTAATTTTTGTTGTATGCTAATTTTGTAGGTATGCCTGTCATTATGATTTATATTTATAAAAGACTGTACCACATAAAAGATTCTGAACTCTTGACTATGCACATACAGGAAGTCATTTAAGGTTGCTGTTATGAGGTTTTTGCTGTCTCCCTTGCAGGATAAATTCTTAAAGAGCAGTGCGTGTTCAAATGGAAACATTTTTACTCTAACCTTTCATTATACAAAAAGCGAGTTGGTGTGTTAGCAACGCTCGCTGGAGTATTGATAGGATAAAATAATTTATACGAACGGTCCTGGAGGAGTCGGGTCTCATGACCTGAATGGAAGAAGTCATTTTGGCTTGTGTGTGTGTCTCTAGCCTGGTAGGAAGCATCGGCTCCTTCCCTGGTGGTAATGATACTAGTGGGTCTTGGAGTACTAAGACTCGTCGTCCTTCATAGCTTCATTTTGTATTAATTTTACTTCAGAGTAGTAGTGAGGAAGTTCATTAACTTCAAGACATGATGAACTAGGGAGCTGACAAATCATGTAATCTGGCATATTCAACATCGACGCCTCGCCTACATGGCACCCTCCTATACCCTCCCCCCCCCCCCTTCTCCTGACTACTGCCAGCTGCCACCAGCTTCAGTCCCCTGCACTTACTGCTCCGTCCCCCCCACCCCCCAAACCTCCCTACCACCCCAGCCACCTTTTCATGCGAAAGTGGTGTGTAATTTGGTGATTTTGTTTTTCGTGTCTTAATTTGAAAACCCAAAATAGAGTAAAAATAACATGGCGAAACTAGGTCACGCGTTCACGAGCACTGTCACCTGTGCTTCACATCCCGACTGTTTATCCGGACACGGCAGCGTTGTACCTTGCTATCCTGGATGACCATTAGTTAATAACGCAGCGTCCCTGTCGGGCAGCAGTGACGTGTGAAATACAGTTGACGCAGGTGAAGCTTGTCCAAATCCCACGGGTACAACCTTTGTACCAGAAGCTCCGGCCTGGTCGTTCACAGTATGGCATAGTTACCGTAGTAAATGTGCAGGTTCTTTCTCTCGCTATCTCCCTCCCCTGCCTACCTGTGCGTCCACAACACCCAACCCCTCCCTCCTTCCCTCTCTACGTAAACACAACTAAACCCTTGTTTGTTCTCCTGCAGGTGGCGAGGCCGCTGGGTACTATGGCGTGCGGATGGGCCCACTGTCGCAGCTCAACCATGGAGTGAAGGGGGAGGTCTACGCTGTCGACTCCCGCACTCTTCATCTTAGAGGCTTCTACTACGATGGCCAGGCACCAGGTGGGTGTAGGAGACGCCAGGTGGGTGTAGGAGACGCCAGGTGGGTGTAGGAGACGCCAGATGGGTGTAGGCGACGCCAGGTGGGTGTAGGAGACGCCAGATGGGTGTAGGCGACGCCAGGTGGGTGTAGAAGGAAGTAAAAGTATTGTGGTGACGGAAAGGCTTGGGGAGACTGTATTAAATAGGAAGGAGAAGAATTATTGGGTTGGTTGGGTCTAGTAGTGAAGAACTGGGAGTGTAGAGGCGATGGTCTTTTATAATGGAGGTAGTTTAGTCTTCCCTCGCCGCTCAGGCCTGTTACCATGAAGGTCCTGCTAATCACATTACCTGCTCTTGGTAATGAGCACGTGTTAATGAGTGGGTAATTGTCCGCTTTCAGTTTTTCCCGAAAAAAATTATGCAGTCTAATTGAGCCGAATAGTATAATGGCATAATATGATTAGCATAATAATCTAGTATGGGGACATTTGCGGGTGGGTGGCTCCGGGCGGGGCTCTGGGCTGACGGCAGGGTGGTGGGTGATGGGTGGGCTGACGGCAGGGTGGTGGGTGAGTGGGTGGGCTGACAGCGGGGTGGTGGGTGAGTGGGTGGCTCCGGGCTGGGTTCTGGGCTGTGCGTGGGCCGGCGGCGGGGTTGAGATCAGTCATCTGAAAGTCATGCATAAAGGCTTCCATTTTATATTCCTGACCACAATACCCGAAGCTTCCTGGGGAGTAGAGGAAAACACGGGTGGCAGCAGCAGCAGCAGCAGCAGTAGTGGGGGTGCTGTGTGGGGGTTGGTAGGAATGGTAGTGTGGGTGGGGCAGCTCTGGTAGTGACTGGGCGAGTATGGCTGCTTTACATGTCTCCCATGTTAAACATGTGTAAACCACTATACATGCATACATGAAGCTATGAATAAGATTGTGTATACATGCTTATGGCCTATTGATAGTGAGACACACAGTCTTAAATACTTGTGAACGGCAGTCTTAAGTTTCTTGAAGTCTGTAATTGTTTATATTTTTAGCTACATTTTACATCTCCAATAAAATATAAAAATGGTCTTGAAAAAATGTCATTTCAGTCATGAAATACCGAGAGGTAATATAAGTAATCCCGTAACTGTGTACCAAGTGTTCCTTGTGGCTTGCAGACGCGTTCTTCTACGCCGGCTCCACACCCAGACCCAGCGACGCGGGCTTCATCATCCCGGACGAGAAAGGCGGGCAAGTAAACTCTTTTTAAATTGTCTCCTTCACATTACTTTATTTCACCCATTATTCTAGTGTTAAGAAGCCTACTACTTGGACGATAGAGCGACGGTCTCGCTTCTTGCAAGTCTATCAATCCCCGACCGTCAGTGGTTGGGCACCATTCCCTCCTATCCTAAATCCTTATCTTCGTATCCTTTACAAACGCTGTATAGTTGTCAAGCTTTGCACTATATCTTGATAATTACCTTAACACGAGTCACAACATAAATCGTAAAGTTTATAAGAAGCGAGGGGAAGTAAACTTGAAAAATCGTTAAGCCGGTATGACTATAACAGTATAGCACTTGGGAAGGGAATATGAAAGCAGAGCAGAGAGAGAGAGAGAAGAGGATTTTTCCGGAGCAAACAGCCCGAGAGCGCAGGGAACACCACACAAAAGCAGGTTTTCATATGACCTACAATTGTTATGCATTGTATTGTACAGAATAAAATACTAACGCGTCGTGACCGATGTGACGGCCAGCTGACGGGGGAAGGAAAAACCCAGTACCAAACTCTCATCATTTCGGCTGTTTGTGGAATACACACTTCGCTGGAGATATTTTTTTAGTGTGTGTGTATACATTAAATCAAAAAGTTAAAGTTAATGATTTGGTGAGCTTATGCTTTGTTATGAGCACGACAGGGTCTCGGTTGTTTAGTTGGGTTTGTTAGAGACTCGCAAATCGGGAATCCCTTGCCGATTTATGTCCCATAATGCCGCAAGTTTCCTTTCACCTAATGCGACTGCTCACCTAGCGGTAAATAGATACCAGGGAGTTAGTCAACTGTTGTAGAGTTGCATCGTGAGTAGGGTCAGTACTTCAACCTTGTGTGGAGCCTAGGTGAAGTTTCTGTAAGCATTTTGGGTATGATTGGTTGAAGTACGATGTGTACGTATACACGTGCGCGCCCCCGTCCACCCCCTTTCCACTCAGTCACCCATAATCGCTCGGAAACGTTCACAAAAAACGTCAGCATAAAGTTTACATCAAAGCCAAGAAGTAGAACAGATAGCTTACGCTCACGAGATCAAAGGCAACGTTTTCTTTATTCACATTAGGCCATGTGTCCCTGGTGTTGACCGCTGGCCACCCCTCCTGTTCTCTCTCGTACGGGTTGCTTTATCAAGCAACAGCTAGCATCTTGGCTGCACACTGCCTCATCCAAACTGTTCATCCCATACTGATTACTCTATCCCAAGTAACCGCCTACTCAACTTCCTCACAAAGGTGGTGAGTTTTATTCGTAAAGCTTTTCTCGTAAAGCTTCCCGCAAGCCAGAATTAAAACAAAAAAACTGGCCACTCTCAGCGTTTGTACGTCTTTGCGGTTAGCCAAAAAAAAACAATATAAACGATAACAAATGTAAAAAATTTAATTTGGTCGTTTAGTAGAGTTGAGGGTTAATTTGGATCGTATAGAAAACGATGTGTTAGTTTGGATCGTATAGAAAACGATGGGTTAGTTTGTGTTCATGACAGAAAAGGATTGTATATAAAGGGGTAAATATTTTATTTTATGGTGGCCATCCGGTAGTTTATTATTTATATACAAGGTACATTGGGTTGTGAAAATACATACATTGGTGATTGAGTAAATTATGAGCACCAAGCCAGTATGACTATATAGTCTGATGATTACATTTTGCTTAATAACTATAACTATACATAACCGTCGACGGTTCAGGTAACAAAATAGTGCCTGTAGCCACTAATATTTACCTGAATTTACCTGTGGGCCACTAATACTAGTGGCCTCTGAGGACAGGAAGCCGGCGGCTTGTCAAAGGTCCCCGGGCCCCCCCCCCCCCCATTTGCCCTGATGTTCTCTAGGTGTATTTTCAATCTCGGCAGAGTTTTGGCTTTTACGGCTTCGGCGGGTACGCGGTTCCACAGTTTTACAATCCTATGGGTGAAAAAGCATCCTGTTTTTTGTCCAACAATGTGGACAAAATTGATGATCCGTTGCTCATCATTCGTGTTACAACTTACTTTTTTAAAGAAATTGTCCGGATCGACGGCCTCCAAATTGTTCAGTATTTTTAAAGTCGAAAAGATCCGCCCTGCCATGCCTGGTTTGCAGCGTTCCCAGCCCTGTGGCCCTCAACCGTTCCTGAATCGAGAGATGACTAAACTCTGGGATGTTTTCTACACAGTCAACCAAACACTACTGGCCAGAAAAATAGATGCTTAACTAAAGGTACCATTCACATAACTCACTGTAGGCTGTCTTGGAAAGGTCACGGACGCAGTGTTGAATTTGATATCAAAGTTCCCAAAGCTGAGCAATTCGCGTGGATGTCGAACAGCTTGTAATTGGTCAATGTTTGTCAGTGCTTCTCCACATCAGTCATCGGGTGGATGGACAACAGGCACTTGTGGGCTCCGACACTTGATTTCGTGATTGAGAGTTCGTTCATCAGAGCAATTGTGATAATACATAGTTCTAGATATATCGGTAGGGAGGACGTGTGTCGACGCTGGTCAATATAGCACAAGAATTAGTTTCAGAAGTTTCAAAATGTTGTCAGTAGTACTGCAGTTCAAATTTGTGGGTATAATACAAAACAATTTAATTGAAGACGGCGAGAGCTTACACCTCACTGCAATGTAGTGGTTAGCATCCCTACCAGCTCTCCTCTCAAGCACGAGGACCCAGGTTCGAGCTCTCGAGATAGTAGGGCGACTAGGCACCCCTTCTTTTACCATTTGCCCTCCCTCGTCTTACCTTACCCACCCAGCAGTTGGTTGTAAAGCGGTTTGCAGATAGTGTTCTGAGAGAAAATAACAAATGGAAATGTTTATAAGAACTGTGGGAGGATGTGCTATTAGTCTGCGACAAAACTTTTAGAGATTTCTGCTCTTGAATCTTTCAGTTTAAAGAATAATTATCTAAGATAGGCAAACTCGGGAACCATTACTATGATTATTGTTAATACATTTTTACTGGGCTGTGGCAGTGTGTTGAGACACTACCGCGTAAAATGTGTGACTGGCCCACTAAAGGAGTTTAGATTCAGGAAAGACCTGGGTAAACGCTGGTCAAGAGAAGGGACAGTTGAATTGTGGAACAAATTGCAGGGGAATAAAAGACTTGCACTCGCTGGATTCAGCGTCAAGCGTAGGCTACTCACATACGTGAGTGAGTTTGGGTGGATACAAGTAAGAGCGTCCTAGTAACGACCAGTAGGCCTTCAGTAGTCTAATTTATACATACGTTCTTTCATCGTGCCATCTTCGTCTCTCCGTCCCACCTCATTGACCTTTGAACGCATTTCAGAAAGAAGCCTCTGGGTCGCTACAGTAACCAGGACGTCACCATCACATTGCCGGAGGGCAAGACACTAAAGGACATCACCTGGTTCTCCATCTGGTGCCGTGCCTTCGCCGTGAGTACCGGAGGCCTGGGAGAGCTCAAAGAATTCAGCAGGGTGTTTTATTTTCCGCCCCGATATTGTGACAATCTTCTCATTTGCAAGCGGTTAAGAGTGTGGAGTGTTGCTTAAACATTGATGTGAAGACTGTGATAGTGGAGTGTGGACTACGGTGTTTAGTAGATTTTATTCGACGTATTTTCCTCGTCAATGAGTAAATCCATTGAGAGCGGTATATAAAGTAAGGTTCTCTAAAGCAGTATATAAAAATCTCTAACAAATTAAATAAGAAAACTAATTCATCTGTGGTAGCAACTCGGCACTCTAGCTAGGATCGACTTCTCAAACCTTTACTTGTCACATTTGGAATGGCATAAAGTTAATTGGTCAGAAGTCACCTTACCAATGACCTCGCTATACCTACGTTGACCACCGAACCTTGGTCTCGTCTTCCCCTGACTCCTAACGGCAATTTTGTTCCCTTTCAGGTCGACTTCGGCCACGTGATTGTGGACAAGAACCTCAACTACCCTCGGCCTCAGAAGATAGACTCCCTGCCCACCCTTGAGCACGGGGTCACGTCGGACAGAATCGTGGTGGTGGATGCCCAGACCTTCCTCATCCCGAACTTCAGCTACGACGGAGCCGCCCCAGGTGAGGCGGTGGACACCAGGCAGATTGTAACAACTCTGAGCAAGTTCACATGTAAAGACACGGTTGGCAGCCAATATTAAAACTTTATCTAGTTATATTCCTTAACACATCACTCTGGTTTCATGCAAGTCTCTTAAAGACCTTCAAGCATCACGAAGTGTTGAGGCATTGGCCAGATTTCCCTGGTCCAGCTTTGTGCAGACAGTTTCCTTGTGTTGAGGAATAAGAATTTATAATTAAACTATTGTGAAGAAAATTTAAAACAAAATTGCAATTTGTGGAAGGTAAAAGAAAAAATAGAAGCTAATATGGACAACAATGAGCGCAACACTTGTGTAGCAAAGCTGTCGTTAATGATCACCTTGCAGTGAAGTAGACATTTGTTCAAATAATTGCATATGATAAAAGGTAATGGAGGTGTGGGGGGGGGTAATTATTATCAAAGCAGGGGATGGGTTTTGGTGGAGGGGGAAAGTTGGGGTGTTGCCAAGACAGTGGCTCAGAACGAGCGAACGAACTCCTACTCACTCTCTCACTCGCTCATAATTTTGCAAACTATTTTTTGTAAGATTAAGACAGAGGAAAATAGTATGAGGCTACAAGTTGACCTAGACAAACTGAAGGAATGGTCCAACAAATGGCTACTAAAGTTCAACCTGAGTAAATGTAAGGTAATGAAACTAGGCGGTGGAAATTGGAAGCCAGACAATGGATACCGAATGGGATATGAAGTCCTTCACGAAACGGACAGAGAAAGATCTAGGAGTTGATATCACACCAAAGCTGCCTTCTGAAGCCCACATCAAAAGAATAACATCAGTGGCGTATGCGAGGCTGGCTAACATCAGAACTGCCTTCAGGAACCTGTACAAGAAATTTTTCAGAACTTCGTATACCACATATCCAAGACTAATCCTGGAGTATGCGGCCCCAGCATGGAGCCCGTACCTTGTCAAGCACAAGACGAGGCTTGAAAAATTTCAGAGGCATGCCACTAGGCTAGTCCTAAAACTAAGGCATGAGTTGCGAGGAAAGGCTGCATGAACTGCACCTCGCGTCGCTGGAAGACACAAGAGCTCGGAGAGACATGATCACCACGTACCAAATTCTCATGGGAATTGACAGGGTAGACAAGGATGGATTATATAACACGGGTGGTACACGCACAAGGGGACACGGTGGAAGCTGAGTACCCAGATGAACCAGACACATTATAAAGAACTTTTTCAGTGTCAGAGTAGTTGGTAAATGGAATGCACTAGGAAGTGATGTGGTGGCTGACTCCATACAGTTTTAAATGTAGATATGATAAGAGCTCGAGCAGCTCAGGAATCTGTACACCAGTAGATTGACGGTTGAGAGGCGGGACCATAGAGCCGAAGCTGAACCCCTGTAAGCACAACTAAACGAGTACAATTAGGAGAATACTCTCACTCTTGGAGGATCTTTAATAAAACTAGTTACAGCACCGGGGGCTAGTGTTGATCTGCCTTACTCATGAGACAATATGCCTGAAGTGTGTTCATTTATCTTATCATTTACTTGAGATAGTCAAAGAATGTTGGTTTTAGTGAATGTACAATATGTAATTGTAATCAGATTTGTTTAAATTGTATTGTGCAGGTTAACTAAACTTTATCTTGGTTTTTAGATGCTTACTTCTGGGTTGGCAAGGGTTCGAACCCTGGTCCTTCTGGTATACTGGTGCCTGACGAAAACGGATCGGAGGAGCCCCTGAAGCGGTACTCGGGCAAGACCATCGTCATCACCCTGCCCGGCGACCTCACGGTCTTTGACATAGACTTCCTGGGTGTGTGGTGTCGGGCTTTCCATGCTAACTTTGGCCACGTTCGAATTCCCAAGAGCCTCAATGTCCCACCTTCCCTCAAGATGCTTGGCGTCGCTCCTCAGGTAAGCTGTCCGTACTATAACTATGGTGGGTTTTACATTATGGCTTTCAAGTGTAGAATCAACTTGATTCCTACAGCAGGAGAATTTAAATACTTTAGTGTATATAGATCCATTGTCATTTTGTGTAAGTGTAATCGCATACTTAATGAGCTGTAGGTTTTATAAAAAATATTTCTTAGTTCACACTTTACCCAAATAGAAACCCCACATATCAACAATATCAATTTCGACTGTGTATGTAGGCTATTATTTAGCCCAAACGTTCCTGCCATACGAACATTTCCAAACTTAAGCCAAGTGTAAACTCGAAACATCCCATGAGCAGATGTATTTGCAAATCTCCTGAGCAAAGCTTGACAGTGTATACAGCAGCTTTGGCATTATTAATCAGGTGAGCTGAAGAGTCTAAAGCGAGGCATAGTTCAGAAGAACAAATTTATGAATACTTGCCCTTGGCCTGGCCGCACTAACATGGGTGCCACCACAGCCTCCACTATGCCGGTGGATGACGTTGGGTGGGTGAGGGACTAGCATAGATTGGCGGGACTACATTTGTTGCTGTTACTTCTCTCTGATGCTAGCCCGCGTCATGCCTAATCAATATACATTTTTCCTTTAGGAAAGTCCTATGATGCTAATAAAACTTGGTGTTGTAGGGTGCAAAAATATTGGATTGAACTGGAATAATACTGTCTTGCTGGGTTTAATATGTTTATCACACTGGTTCCCTTGGAAATACTATGCTAGATAGCATTAGTCTCGTATGGTAATGTATCAACTTGCTCGCCAAACTGGGGGAACATGTTTCAACACCTCACAACGAGGTCTCGTGTGGTCACGTCACAGCAAGACATGTATAAACATGATACGTGCAGTCACTGCTGCCCTGTGGGGGTGACAGGTCTACAATGTTCTTCGCACACTTTCTCAGGTCTTCTTTCAACTGTCAACTCATTTTTTTTATTGCATTTGCACATTTACTACAGTGTGAGAGAGAGAGAGAGAGAGAGAGAGAGAGAGAGATATTACCTAAGTGTAGTTAAAAGATATAAGCCAAGATTTTTTATACACATCCTTGTGAGTATTTGTCTGTGTGCTTTAATTAAGTTTGGTATGATGTGTAAAAGTTTCATTAATGATTACTTTACCTAGATTCCTTCACTGCTGTCACTTGTCATCTTCACCGACTAATATATTTTTCCCAAACTTTCATTAGACACCTTATCAAGGGTTGACTCCTGCTTCTTTGTCTTGCTATAAATCCACTTGGACACCTTTTCCCTTGTGACTTAGAGCATGTGCCATGGACGAATGTGTGTAGTGTTACGATACAGCCAGGGATGAATGAATGCCATTGTCCCGGGAAGATATGTTTGTGTTAAATATGCAAGAATCGGAGAAGAATTAATCGGGTTTTTCTTATAGGTGGTCAGCACAAAGGGATTTGAACGTTTTGAGCTAGAGGATTAGACGAGGAAGGACTTAAACTAATCTTGCCGACTTTTTAGTGCAGCGAGAGTTGTAAAAGATAATGTATGAGAAAATGTTCTTGAAAAAATGAAAGCACCGTGTGACTGTCACTCATTTTAGACAAATTTTGCATGTATAACCTATCCCCGAGATTATGCACATTCATCTTACTTGTCATCCCTTTCCCTTTTCAGTCATCAGGTTACTCCTACCAGTCACCATCTGGCCGCCCAGCTTTCTCTACACCTAAGACTGTTTACCAAAAACCTACTACTTTCAGACCTGTATACTCAACTACCCCAAGACCTTCCTTCAGGACAGCCACTGTAAAGTCCGCCTCTCTGTCAGCTCACGAATCTCCTTCACTATTTACCTCGCAAAGACCTTACAGTCCCCCTGCTATTACACCCAGACCATATTTCCCTAGACCTGTAACTAGCTCTCCTGTTCAGATCACAACCACTCGCCGACCATATGTACCAGCTCCTACAACTCTTGGACACTTTAAGGTATCTACAACGCCGCGACCTTTCCATAAGTCACCGACTACACCTCGTCGACCTTATGAACCGCTTGTTACAACTCGCAGACCGTTTTACCGACCATCCAATTCAGAGACCGCGGCACAGTTTCCTGGTCCAGCGGCCCACTTCCAGAGACAAACTACCGATGACTTAGGCAGTCCTACAGCCAGCAGGGCCTCGTTCGACGTAGTGTCTTCAGGCTTCGGTGATCCCAGGGATTCCGGAGGTCTAAATTTCACACCAGCTCTCGCCAACCCATTCTCTCCATCGATCCATTCCTCGCAATCAAAAGGTATAACCCCAAAGAGTCATTTCTCCGATCCCGGAACATCCTCGGCAGCAGCTGCACACTTCGGCGTTTCATCACATTCTTTCGGACAAAGTGGCAGCCCACCCGAAGATCTACCACTGTCAATCGGGGCTTCATCAGCCAACCACAGGTTTGGTTCAAGCGTGGCATCCTCCAGAAAGGCTTCTGGACCTAGACCTCCAGCTATCAGTAGCTTCAGTTTCAGCAATGGAGGATCTTCTACCTCGTTTAATATTTATGGTTAAGTTTTTAGCGTTCAGAAAGCAACCACACTAAAAGTAAACATCTGGAATAAGAGAAACTAAGTACATATTACCCCAAATATCAGATTTTATTTTTTCGTACTATAACTTCAAATATTTGAACACGAGACGGAAGGGTTACTGAAACTGTCGATCAAAACTACTAGTCTTGCAACAGAGGCAGTGATCTATGTTTGTCTCCGTACTGAAGGTCGAGCTTTTCATATTCTTGGCTCCTATTAAGCTCTGTATCAAGTTTCTCTAATAGTTTTTATGGTGCCATTAACCTCCAGCCTGCAGTAATGACGCAGTCAGCCACACCTTTGTTAAACATATTCCTGGCAAGTTAAGAAAACGGGAAGGTACAGGGGAGACTGCAGTTACGGGAGTGCGGTCGTGTGCTAATATTAATTCATTTAATTTTGTCGTGGGGGACAGGCAGCCTGTGTGTATATATATGTTAGGCTTGTATCAAGGTCACATATTTCCTCTCTCAAAGGTTGAACTACTGCCCGTTCCCAGGATGCAATCCCACAACAAGCTGACTAACTCCTGGGGTAACTATTTACTGTTCGGTGAACAGAAGTATTGGGTGATTGGGAAACTACTACTGCCCGGGATTCGAACCTGGATTTCTAGACTGCTAGTTGAAAACTAACCTAACCAAACTACCGGGATCCTCTAAATATAATTATCGAAAAGGCAAATATAATTCACGAGGCGTTTAATTTTTTTGCAAATTTAATTATAATTGTGTAAAGATTACTAGCTGGCTTATCACTGCGAGAAGACTTTTTAAACTTCAGAAAACTATGTTTACCAACAAACATATTTGTCTTCGAATGGTATAAACTTCAAGGGTCCCTGCATGAATTTGGTCTCAAAGTATTTACCTAAATAATAAATTTATCTGCGTACACGCAGATGAGAACCATTGTATAAGGCGAGGATGCAGAGCTGGGTCAGGCGAGCCCCGTCACGCATATATCATCAGTATTTTATACCCCCTTGTCAAGTGCAAGTATCCCCAGTGTACAATATTACAAGCCGTTTAAATTATATTTGGTTTACGTGAATGTAACAAACACACCATTTCATATTTTGTTGATTTAATGTTTGCAGTTTCAACTTGTTCCTTTCATGCTGGTCGTGCATTATGGGTGTGTTGAATTAAGTTATCAAACAGCGGGGCTCGGCTATCATTGCTCGTGCTTTAAATGTGGCTGTAAACAAATGTTCAGTAGCAGTATTACCCGGTGACAGTAGTTGCTCCGTTATAGCGTTTGGTCGTTATACCAGGGAGTACTGTGGCCTAGGTAGAGAGAGCATCGAAGCAAAGTTCTGAATAGCGTAAAGTTTTTTGAAGCTCGACCTTCAGTAAGGTTGTATAAACAGTGTCACAGTATTTTGACTTGAATGCAAAGCCTACTTAAAAAAAAAAAGAGGGGGACTGACTTGGTAGTGTTCTCGGCTGAACAGCATAACGTATATATATATATATATGTGTATATATATGTGCATATGCATATGTATGTGTATATGTATGTGTATATGTATATATATATGTATATACGTTAGACATCTCGACTGTTAATGAACAGATAAATGCCAACACCAAGGATAATTATCTAAAAAAAAGGGGGGAACAAAATGCATTAATTCATTAGATTAATGCTAAGTAATCTTAGCATTAATCTCCAGAAGCCTATCTTCGCCTCGAACTCGGTTCCACTATGACGTCTTTTATTTATTTTGACCTGTCCTTAGGGAGGAGATACCCTGGAGGTAGTCACTTCAAAATAACAATGTAATTAGTCCTATTATCTACTTCTTATCCATGATTTGGTTAGGCTAAGATTAGTTTACCGTTGGTTATGTTAATACGGTGTTGTTCACATGCGAAATATTAAAATCGAAAACTATTTTAGTATCCCCTAGAACTTTAATTACGGTCAACTAAATTCTTCAAACCTTTTCAAAGAAAAAGTTACGCATTAACTTTTTTTTAACCAACGGTTTGTAATACAATGAAGTTATAATTTGATTTTTTTTCTGTTTAGGACAAAAGTTCATTTGTCAGTTAAAATTATACTATTATTGGAACCATAATATGCTTTCAGATCATTACTAATATCTAGATAACAATCCACTTGATGTGAGAATGGGTTTGGTGTGTCGTGGTATGACTTTACTCTGATGGGTTCTTTTATTTATATACAAAACTGTGTTTTTACCATTATGAAAGGCTTGTTTAGTTATCTTAATTATCATGCAGAATTTATTGGCCAAGTAGCGTATGTAATTTGGTAATAATTTTGGTGCCAGGTATTTATAATTATTTATGTAGATTAATGTATATACATATATTCTAATATTTATTTTAAGTGTTAAAGGCGAGGAGTTGCTCGCTCGCCTGCGTCACGTAATGGCTTTGTGCTAGTTAACTTCCCGGTC